AGCCCAGGGTGGCCTGGAACTTACGGAGCCCAGGCAAGTCTTGAAATCATGGTAGATCCTCCTGCCTCAACCTCCCAAGTGCTGGGATCACAGGCATGAGCTGCTACATCTGGCTTTAGACCCATCTTGAAAATTAATGACATGCAGATGGCGTTGCATGGCTGGTCCAAGCCAAAAACTAGGACTCAGATATGCAGATCCCCTGCTCTCTGTCTGCTGCTTCTAGGACTCAGATGTGCAGATCCCCTGCTCTCTGTCTGCTGCTTCTTTGTTTGGCACTCCACCTTTGAGACAGCATGTTTCCCAGCCATTTTCTCAGGTTAAAAATTCAGAACTTCAATATCTATAAGCTTATTGAAATCAAATACTCAGGTAAGTACATCATTCCCAGCCTTTTGTTTTATTAAAGAGGGAAGTAAAATGACAGACTACCTTTTATATGCCAAGAGCTTTTGAACAAATACATCATTCAATGCTTTGTATTATCCCACGATGCATGGTCCATTTCACCAAGGAGATAAGGAGAGCGTTTGACCTGCTTCCTGTGAGTCCCTTGCCACAGACATCGTCTAGTGACAGGAGTCCTGTGCATCATTCTGCTCACACTACAGCAGTGAGATCTCATTGCTCCCTTGGTGGTCAAGGTCTCAGAGGGGTCCTAGGATTGGTCAGCTGGATGCTGCTACCTGGGGCTTGGGGTTTGCAGCATAACACACAAAGATGGAGGGAGGATTGCATCCTAAGTAGCAGTGGTGCTGAGTCTGATGGTGGCACTTGGTGGCAGTGTCCTGAAGCTGGACCTTGTCGCCACACTTTCTGAGGGTGAGTCTTCTTCCACCAGCCCTTGGTTCCCAGCCGAATTTCCAAGTCTTTTTCTTGAGCTCTAGTACTTCTTCAGGAAATTCCAGTTCGGGTGGCTAGAACCTGAGTTGGCACAAGTGCTTGCAAGCAGGTACTCTGGTTGAAATGTAAGTAAACTGGCTCCAAGGTCAAAGAGTTTGTTCAAGAGCCATAAATGGCAAGAGGCAGTGTTCTGGCTGGGACGGCTGTGCTGTTGTGTTTCCTTGATTCTGTGCTGCCTGGAGAATTCCACAAAAGGGCATAGAGGCTCCGAGTAAGCATGGTACATAGATGAGAGTGATGTGAAGACAAACAAAGTCACCCCAAGTCTGTGTTCAAAGACACACACATAAATAAGCAAGTCTACTCATGCCAGAGACTGAGTTGTGTTCAAATATTATCTCACTTCGCCCTCATCATCATATAATAAGTTGGAAAACGTGAGCCTTACCTATGTTTATATCATGGTAAATGTAAATGTTAGTGCTGGGTTTGAACTTGAGTACGCAGAAAAGAAGCCTGCTCATTCATTAAGCCACAGCTTCACCATGAAATTTAATCAATCAACGAACATGTTTCCGTTGTCAATATTCTATTAACCTCATCATGGCCCTAGAACAACACTGTCAATGTGTTCTTGTTTTTTTTTTCTTCCGTGTTTGTGATCTTACATTTGTGTCCTTGAATGTATCACCTGTCTCTTTGTCTTTAGGCTTGAACATTGCCAATACACAGGACTGTATTCCCTACCAGTCTCCCTGTATATCCATTCCTACAAAAGATCCTGACATGGCAGCCCTTGCGCTAGATGGGGGTGGGCTGGGGGGATTCGAAGCTGTTGTGGAGCTAACTGAAGAACTCTACAAAGAAGCGAGACTTACCTCCTTAAAGCGCTTACAAACGAGATGGGAACTTACTGTCCTCTTCAGGCTGGCCTGCCTCTGCCTCCTCTACGGTTCCCAGAAAAGCTGTGGCTTTTCTTATTGAACTGTAAAATGGAGCCCAAGATCCTTGTTGGCAAAATAAATAAACACCAGACATCTCAGGGTCTTTGGGGACAGATCCCTTGCCCAGACCTGGCTCATGACAGCCAATGAACATTTTGTCGTTTGTGTTTTGGATTAAGAAAATGAGTTCTGCGTGTTTCCTAGCATCACAAGGAGCAGCGAATTGAATTGGTGCCATTGTAAGCTTGATTGTTGCTGCATAGATAAAAGCCTCATTAAATCCCTCATGAGGAGAGAAAAATTTTATTTTGAGGAAAGAGGAGCGATGAGGGCTTCTTTGCTTGTTGTGGTTACAACAACAAAACATTAAATGGAGGAAATAATGAAATAACTGAACTTTTTTTTTCTTTACCCAAACCTTGTCAAGAGGCTGGGTGAGTTTTTAATTAGTGCTGCATTTTCAATAAATCCAGATCGGTACGTGGTGCCGATTCTTTCCTGGATAAGGGAAAGATAATAATGAGAATCTTATTTTTCAGTTCCACACTAAAGGGATGCCTGGTATATTTAATCATGCTGTAGAAATCCTGGCAGCCTTCTCTGAGCCTGGCCTCTGCTCTAATTACATTTCTAGATTTTAGTAAATTGAAAGGGAAAATGTAGGAACAAAATAATTAAAACCGAAGAGGAAGTGCATATTAAAAAGGAGAAGCTGTTTAAAATTCTTGCACATAGTGCTTCCAAGGACATCTACAATCGTTTAATCAGCTCCACACCAAATCAAAGCCCTTTGTGCAGAGGCTGCTAGGATCAGATCTCAGGTGGGCGGTGTGGTCCTCACAGTAAAATGAGAGTCTCATTGCACAGAGCTACAGATGGCAATAGGACCTCTTATGGACCTCCAGATCACTGGGGATTCAGGCCCAGTCTGGACAAGCTGCTGGCACGGATTTCATACCCGGAGAAGCCCTCTCCCGTGTCCTGGGCAGAGTCTAGCTAAACTGTAAGGATTAGTCTCAATTGTAAGGAAGCTGAAACAGATGTCCATCCTTTCTGCTCCTCTTCCCCATGCTCCTTTCCCAAGGGTCTCTCTCTCTCTCTCTCTCTCTCTCTCTCTCTCTCTCTCTCTCTCTCTCTCTCTCTCTCTCTCTCTCTCTCTCCTCTTCTGTGAAATCCTAAGTCAAGAGACTAGGTAATTAAACAGCCTCTGTGTCACCAAGGGTTAGTGACTTGTAACTGGTCATTGCGTTACCATTGGGACATTTTGAATTTGTACAAGGACCAAACACCTTTCTGGCTTCATCAAAAGAGATGAGTGTTTGTTGATAACGATGATAAATAAAATCTAATTGGAAAGTTTCAGGCAACTGCCTAATGGGTGACAAGAGCTCTTTCTGTTTCAGAGGCAAGCACACTAACCACATCATTAGAGAATCTAGGATCTCCAATTAAAAAAAATTTTTTGGTTGGGCATAGTGGAGCACACCTGCAATCCTAGCACTCAGGGGGTGGAGGCAGCAGGATCAAGAGTTCTAAGACAGCCTCTGTAACATAGTGAGTTTGGGGCTAGCCAGGCCAATGTGAGATCATCTCAAAACAAGGACCCCAAACCAAAAAACGAAGCAGAGAACCAACAACAACAAGAGTCATTGTATCTGGAACACAGGTTGTATAAGTCCTGGGGTTTTTTTTGGAGTGTTTTGCCCATGATTCCCAGGACATTTAAAACTGGGATTACGGGGTCTGCTTCTGTACTTGAAAGTGGAAGGCAGCTTGGCACTGTCAAGGGTTCTTTCTAATCCCTGTGGCCTGGCTCATAGGCTGCCAGCCTTCCCTGCTGAACAGGCTCACCAACCACATGGTGCCAGGTGGCAAGAGACAGAAGCACAGTCTCCTGGAGACTGTCCCACAGGCCTGGAAAGCAGTAGGGTTCCAGGAAGCTATTCCCATGACAGGTTGCAACCTTGTTACCTACCTTGTGACCCACTGGTCACTAGGTTGCTCTCTTGTGTCCAGTGCTAGGTGAATACATGATTTGTGTATGCAAGAGAGACAGAGTCTGCTTTGGATTTTGAGGGCTTGATTCAGCAATAAGTTTTTTTTTCTTAATGTTTAAGGTAAGCAAAGAATGTAACAACAACAAATATCTCATTGCTGACATCATTATTTCAACACAAAGATGATTGTTTTCTTCCAGGGTTAAGATGCTCTGAGACAATTCTACTCAACTCCAGAATCACTTCCAGCCCATGGGAGCTAAGACCTGAGACAGACTGGGGACCCAGGTGTCCTAGCCAATAAATTGTCACAGAATCAGCCTCTTCTCCATCTGCGCTCTCTCTCTCTCTCTCTCTCTCTCTCTCTCTCTCTCTCTCTCTCTCTCTCTCTCTCTCTCTCACACACACACACACACACACACACACACACACACCTTCCACCTTTCCCAGAAAGAATGGTCCTTTGGTTATTGTTTTCAAATGCGAATTTACTTATTTAGTTTTTGGAGACATGGTCTCACCATGTATTTGTGGCTGGCCAAGCTGGACTTAAACTCATAGAATTCCTTCTGCCTCTGCCTCCTGAGTGCTGGGGTTAAAGGTGTGCCGCACAGCACCTGAGTAAAGTACTTAATAAATGTTAGCATTTGCAGGCTAGACTTGCTGGACACGGATCTCTATGAATTTGAGGCCAGCCTGTCCACAAAGAGAGTGCCAGGCCAGCCAGTGTTACATGGTAAGACCCTATCTCCAAAAACAAAATGTGAAAGTCTTTAAAAAAAAAGTCTCTAGCAACCATTGAAGTCCAGAAAACATTTCCCTGAGAGTTGGCTAAAAAAGAAAGAGCGAAGTCATCTGTGATCCACAAATTGCACATCTAGGTTTCAGTTGTGAAATGCCTGCTGCTGCCCCACCCACCCGGTCCCTGGCTCTCAGCCGCCTCCATCCCGGCCTCGCACCTCGGCGCGATCTTCCGCACTGCACGCGACCCCCTCCGAGTTCCCGCCTCTTTCCACTCTGGCCCCGCCTTCCGCACAAATCCCCGGGCTCTGGCACCGCCTCGCGACGCTTGCGCACCAGGGAAGGTAGGCGGAGTCTTAAAGGAGGAGGAGCTGGAGCGCCTGGAGCGGGGCGGGGCGGGGCGGGGCCGGACGGGGCGGGGCGAGGCGGGGCGGGGCGGGAAGCCGGGGGAGGAGGCCGCGCGGGGTGGGGCCCGGCGGGTACGCGCTCGCTGCGTCGACGTGCTGACGACAGGACGCCCGGGCCGGTGTGTGTCGGTGTGTATGTGTGTGTGTGTGTGTGTGTGTGTGTATATGTGTGTGTTTGTGTGTGTGTGCGCGCTCCGAGAGTGTGTATTTGTGTATCGGCGGTCCCGCAGGTCCCGGATGTTGCGGGCAGTATGAGGCGAGCGCAGGGGGACAGGGACCAGCTGCTGTCGCCGCCGTTCTCAGGTGAGTGTGAGTGTGTGTGTGTCAAGAGTCGAGGAAGGGGGTTGGCCTGTCGGGGTGCGGGGGGTTTCCTTGAGAAGTGACTGCCCCCCCCCCGCCCCCCACACACTCACTTCCCCTCGTGTATTATTCTCTGCCCCATTTCCTACACCCTGGTTTCCCGGCCTGAGGAAGCCAGAGCCTAGTCAGCCGTCTGTTCTTCCTACCTCAAGCATTCAGGAAACACAAACGCGCCCCCTGCCTCCAGCCTCCCTCACCATCATATCCCAGCCCCATCCCCCTTGCCAAATAGTGAGCTGTCGCCTGCGGCGAGATGGAGAACTGCGCATGCTCGACTGTGAAGGAGCTCGGGGTGCCTGGTCGCTGCCTCAGGACGCATGCGCATTGCTGTGTTGCAGGGACCTGCGGGATAAAGAGCCCCTTGACCACGCGCCCGCCTTCTTCCCAGGCAATGCTAGACTTGCCACCCAGTAGTGAGTGAGCTTGTCGCTCCGACCCGAGAGGGAGAATTTAAATTATGTGAGGGATTTAAGGACAAAGCACTATTCGCATCTGGTGTTGCCCTAGAGACTCCCAGGCTACCAACGCCTCCTAGAGCCAGCGTGTCCCACGCTGACCCTCCTTTTGAAACTGACTGCAACTTCTAGTTCTAGAATTACTTCCCTTTCCACCACTCCGGTCGTCATGCCGAACCCTTACTACAAACTTCCCCTAAATTTAGGAGTAAGTGTAACTCATTTATTCTGGCAGGGGATTTTGATAGCCTTGTTAAGAAGGACTAAGGGCCATAGAAAAGAAACTAAAGTGGGAATTCCTTTATAGTAAAATTCTGAGTTGCCTTTACAGAATTAGATAAGGAAGGGGTAAGTGCCACACACAGTTTAAGGCTTGGGGTAACAACAGTAGAACGGAAATGAAGAGATCAGGAGCTTCATCTCAGCCCTCTTTGCGGGTGTGTGTGTGTGTGTGTGTGTGTGTGATGGTGGGGGTGGGGGTCAGGGTTCTTCCATAGTGTTTCAGTTTAGCGGTACATTACTGATGTTCTGTGACCATATGAAAACAGAGGCAATCTGAAACAATTGAACAACTTGTCCAGAAGTATAAATTTTAAATAATGAGAGTGATAATTCTTTCAATTATGGTCAAATTCCAAAAAAATTAAACTGAGGAACTTTACAGAAATATTTCGGTGACATAGGACTTGGAGTTTCAGTCGACAGACTATACTTGGTTCTGTAGTTTGCTGCTGTATTGTCACTCTTAGAAACTTTGTCTTCCCTCTACCGTGGGGGTGGGGAGGTTTGTTTTTGTTTTGAGACAATCAGGGTCTCATGTAGCCATAGCTGGCCTGGAACTCCTATGCAGACCAGGCTGGTCTCAAGACTGGACTTACAGAGATCTGCTTACCCCTGCCTGAGTGTTAAGTGTACACCACCACATCTGGTCACAAAGATAAACTCTTTACTAGCAAAAATTTTGCTGAATTGTATTGAAATGAATAGCTAAATTGTTGTTGGGTGGGGAGAATGGAAAAGGCAGGGGTATTTTCTGTTTTTCTGCTTGTCTGGCTAACCTTATGTCTCAGCTAGACTACTGGGAGTGGGACATAAATCAGCCTTATTTTGAAATTGCCTTTCCTTTGTGTTCTTTCTTTGGTATTCTCACAAGACTTATTTTGGTTGCCATGTTAACTTTAGGGCCTTGTGTTCTTGGGCTTTAAAGTATATTTGCACTTTTCACTTCCTCATTTAACACTGACCTTTATGTGGTTCAGCTGTCTATTGTGCTGTTTCCGGTTGCCATGCTGCTCTTGGAGCCAAGGGATGACATAGAAGCAGCACAGGGGTTTGGGGATCAGGGGAGCATATATCATCCTGTGTTGAGAAAGAGCTGGATACTCAGCTTCCCCCCACCACCCGTAGTATGAATTACTGTGACAACTCCACATTGAGGATCAGGGCAGTTGGTGTCCTTTTGGTATTTTAGTGACTACACCTTTTAAAGGAGTTATTACAGTGGCTAGTTTGGTAGTTGGAAATACTTAGTGTGGCCTACCTTTCTACTTGGACCAGGCTCTTAGAGAATCTAGAAGTGAAACTATTGAGATAATGCTTGTCTTTCTTCTAAGTAGGCTTTCTTCATCTAGGATGCTTTGTTCTTATCTGGAAACATTTCATTTCTGAATTCACTTAAGCCTTTTTTAAATTTTGATGGTACAAAAGCATGGAGTGCTTTTAGGATTAAGATAAGTTAATTAATTCATATTAGTGCGGAAGTTTTTAAAAAAATAAAAGGTAGCCGGGTGGTGGTGGCGCACGCCTTTAATCCCAGCACTCAGGAGGCAGAGCCAGGCGGATCTCTGTGAGTTCGAGGCCAGCCTGGGCTACCAAGTGAGTTCCAGGAGAGGCGCAAAGCTACACAGAGAGACCCTGTCTCGAAAAACCAAAAAAAAAATAAATAAATAAATAAAAGGTAATACAAATGTGAAAAGAAATATTCCAAAGGTATACAGTGAGAATGAAAAGCCTTCTGTCATTCTCCTGTCCATCAAGGTACCCTTCTCGAAGGCAGCGTCCTCTCCTTCCAGAGTCTATCCATTACAAATACATACACCTGCATATTCTTTGGTGTCTGTCTGTTTCTCACAAATGGGACACTATATCTATTTTTTACTTTTTTACTCAGTATATCTCTGGGTGATCATTTCATATAGTGTGTGTAGTATCTCTTTTTTAAAAAGTGACAAGGGTTGCATTGTATATGATAGATCATCATTTAGCCAGTTCTTAACAGTAGATTTCCAGAGCCATAATTCATTTTTCATGTGTACTTGTGTCTATTGGATTAAATTTTTTTGTGAATGTGCCAGATCAATGGATGTATGCATTTTTAATGTTGGCAATATTGTTGAATTGTTTTCCACAGAGGTTTATGAATTTATATTATTGCCAGCAGCTCATCTGCGTATTTCCTAACCAACACTATAATAATTTAAAAATAAATCTTAAGTAGTGTTTTCTCTGAGATTTTAAGTTCATTATATAGCTTCATAAGTTTCATTACATTGAGGAGTTGTGGACAAATTCTGTCACTGTTCTGTACATCAAGGGTATTAGAGACTATGTATGCCTCAACCAAAGACCATTGCCATTAGAGTGAAGTCATATGCCTGGGTAACAGTAACCATGACAGTACTCGGAAGGCATATCAGACCTGTACCCAGTTTCTTCCCTTTCACTCAGATTCTGGTTTCTTTCTGTGGACTCTTAAAAACTTCTGTGATGTTTTGGGTATCCTTTTGGTAGCTATGACTGAAAGCAAGTAGGCTGCTTTTTGTTGTGTTGAAAAGGTAACTCAGTTGTTAAGGTACTGTCTGTTATCTCCACCAGAATGTTGGTCTTAGCAGTCTTCTGATTGCAGAATACCTTACTGTGAGCTGTAAAGAAATGAAAAGGCAGAGTATGTTGGAGCACACCTTAATCCCAGTACTCAGGAGGTAGAGGCAGGTATATTTCTGTGGGTTTAAGGCTAACCTGATCTACATAGTTAGTTCTAGGCCAGCCAGAACTTCATAGTGAGACTCCCATCCCAACAACCACCTACCTCCCCCCCCAAAAAAAGAAAGAATGAATGAGAAGATTTCTGTGCCTAACAGAGATTTTGATCACTGGAAAACCAGAGGTACTGAATATATGAAATAATAAGAGTTCGGAAATAAAATGTAAAATAGTATGCTTGTGTTTTGTGCTGAGAAGACCTTCAAAGGGATGACCAAGGGTTGAAGGAAAGTTTCTTTTAGAGGGCTTTGTGGAGGAAGTGTATGTTGAGGTTTTTGTTTTTTTCCAACTGTCGAAATGAACGTTTAAACATACAGAAAAGTAGAAAGGATGGCACACTTCTTCTGTCTATTACTATGATTGTTCACATTTTTATTGTATTTCAATTTTTTTATTTTGTTTTTCCAGACAAGGTTTTTCTGGGTAGCCTGACTGCCCTGGAACTCACTATGTAGACCGGGCTGGCCTCAAACCTAGAGATCTGCCTGCCTCTGTCTCCCAAGTGCTGGGATTAAAGGCATGTACCATTACTGTCCAGTGTATTTTAAAATTTATATGTGATATATATTGCATATTTATATTGCAGATATATTTCACCCCTTAGATGGATCTCCTTGAAATACTTGATTATTCTTACAGTATTTGTCACAAGTCAATTATAAGTAATTTTAAATTTTATTTTATATTTTGAGACAGGGTCTCACTATGTAGCCCTGGCTGGACTAGAGTTCACCATATAGACCAGGCTGGCCTTAAATTCATAGAGAACCACCTGCCTCTGCCTCTCAAGTCCTGGAATCAAAGGCAAGTACCACCACACCTGCTGTGGTTTGCATGTTTCCCTCTTCAAACTTGTCTCTTTAGTCACAGAACCATTTGAAGCTACTCAAGATTAGTGGTTTTTGCTTTTTGAAGAGACCAGGCCATTTGTGTTCCAAGGTACATCATCTCTGATTTTCTGATTTTTTTTTTTTTTTTGGTTTTAATAATTTATTCTTTTATCAGTACAAGCTGATATTGAGACTTAAAGGCTTGGTTAAATTCCCATTAAACAGTTTTAGGAAGCATAGGACCAGAGCCCTCTGTTAATTATGTGGGGTTTGGTCGTGTGTTTTAGGTGATGAAACCCAGACTCTTGAGTGAACTTTCCTCCTTTTTTAATTAGCAGGTACTCTGGTGAGTGGTCCCACTCTGGCACTGTACTGTTGTTTTTCCAGCAGCCTTTCTCCTAAGATGATGATCCTTACCTTAGCCAGTTAATTCAGTAGTTGCAAAATGGTGATTTTAAGATTCTGCCATTCTTTTCCTTTGACTAGTTTTTGGTTTTCTATAAAACTTTTCCTTATGTGTTAGTAAATTATAATTTCTACAAAAAAGTTGAGATGAATCTTTCTTTCCATTTAGTATTTTCTGAGTAAGGAGGTGGTATAATTAATAGGCAGTGAG